TGGGCATGACCAAAATGGATTGGTCTTCTACCTGACAACCATCTTGGAGTAACTAGCTGGTTGTGTTACAACTTTAGGTAATCATGTTAAATTAAGGTATAAGGTATGATGGGACGCAAACTGTTAACAGCAAGTCTAACACATGCTAAGTGTGAATGAAAGCTTGAGAGTTGCCAATTTGATGAGGTGTTAAGACACCTTTTCTGAAATTTGAAGAGGTAAAAAAGTAAGTTTCACCACATGGTTAACATATTTGCATTATAGAACTTAAAATAACCCATCGTGTATCTATGGACTGTCTTTGTTTTGGTCATCCATGTCCAATTTGCTATTAAATGCTCTAAATTCTAAGTACAGGGTTTATTTCTTCACTCTAGTTAATGCATTCATTGACATTTGTCACTTTTCCCAATGAAGCTCACAGCAGACAGCCTGGGACTCTGGCCCCAAACTGTTGGGATTTCATGAGGTCCCCCCCTCCCCATTAATAACATAGAGTTCTGGTACTATCTCCTAGGACAGCCGAGGACCTTTTCACCCTAACCCTTGTACTGTCATCTATGTGGCCTTCCTGGGTACTGATGGCTGTGCAGCAAGCTTCTTTGTTACTGGCCTTGTGCTCCTCAGAATGGAGAGGAGGGAGCCGTCTCTAGCCCACAGTCAGGTCTGCGGGAGGCTCCCCCACCCTCAAGCATCCTGTCACCTCTCAATCCCCACTTTTATCTACACAAAATTGGAAGTTAAAAGGCTGAAAATGAGATGCTTAAATCACCACAGTGATTTATCTTCTTATTTTGGTTACTTAAAAGCCAGTTTGCCGCCATGTGTGTATGCCCTTGGGTTTGTCAAGCCATGATTTAGAGCTCGGGGCTTCCTCCTAATTCCCTTTACCACGTTCCAAGCAGTGCATTTGGCTGATTGCAGTCCCGCTCAGAGTTCCTGCCAAGCCCCCCCCCCCAACTCCTGCTTTCTTTTATGTATTCTCTGAAAATATTTCAAACAGACGTGCTTTGCCAAGTGATTTCCAACCTAATGGAAATCAATTAAATGAGAAAGCATGGAGGTGTATTCACTGCTTGTTCTCTGCTCTCTTTACATAATTTATAACGAGTTGCCGTCAACTACCTGAGTATTGCGTGGCGACCTCTGAGCCCACTCGAACAGACGTTCATAGACATTTCCATCATAACAGCCAAGTGCTGAGTTTAAACACTGATCAGTGAAGTCAAAAGCATCAGTTAACAAGATGGCGTCCTTCCTGAGAAAATAAGATCTTGTATTTTAGATGGCTGTTATGGATCTAATTAATCTGCGAGGCTGAATAACACCTAACTGGAGATTGCATCATCACTTTTCCAGCAATTCAAGCTTTATACATTTTAGTTTCTATTTTTTAAAAAATCAGTTCTGTATGTACAGTATAAAGGGTCAAAGAGTTCTCTAAGCTTGTTATTTTAAAAACAGCATATTCCTATCGCTCACCTCCGTTTTCCTCCCCCCAGAGGCAATCAGTGCCGTTTTTTCACTGGTATTTTTCACATTTACCTGAATGTCTCTAAATATCCTGTTTGTAATGCTACTTCTTGATTGTTCACTTTTAGGTGTTATCTATGGACTCTCCATGACAAGGAAACCCTGGTGGTGTAGCGGTTAAGAGCTACGGCTGCTAACCAAAAGGTTGGCAGTTCGAATTCACGAGGCGCTCCTTGGAGGCTCTATGGAACAGTTCTACTCTGTCCTATAGGGTTGCTATGAGTCGGAATCGACTCGACAGCAACGGGTTTGGTTTTTCTGGACACACACTTTTTCCCCTGGGCCCTCCTGCCTCCCAATATAGTTATACTTTTGCCTAGACCAGTATTTAGTGTTTCATTATTATGCCCATATGTATCCTGTTCACAGCTGAGCCTCCTCCCCACCACACCTCCCTTGTTGCAGTGA